AAAATCTTTTGTTCATGTGTTTGTTTGTTTCTACATGAACTTTGATCATTCTCTGATTAAGCTCAGCTATTGAACGGCGTATATTTTAAAGTAAAGGCTTTAAAACCAAGTTAGCACAAACGTCACTAATGTCACATAACTTTGGCCAACAGTAATGTTTTAATGTTCTTCGTTATTAAACATTTGCACATAAATAAGTGACGTAATATTCAGTACTTACTTAAAGTTTACTCTTCGGCCGCCCCTCATCCGCCGGTTTTTTTCAGCAAAATTATCCACACCCACCGTGCTGCTATGTGTGACCTCTGTGTAGTGTCTTCTCTGGTCTGCATTCACAACAAAAAGGCAATGGTTAGAATGCTCTCTTTTTAATGTCGTGGGCAATCAGCACAAAATCTAAACGGGAAAGCAACAACAGAGTTAGCTAACTATGCTCCCATTTTGTTTCCTCTCCTCCCAATAAAGAAATCTCACATAAACGTGCACTCAGTTCAACATAAAGACATGAGAAATGACCCGCAACAAATGATGTATAAACAACAGAAATAATCGGGTCAGACTGTATTACTTTAACAGCCTGCGATATGATTTTTCCTCCCCACGACATTTGCGCATTCCTTACCTCGCAGGAATCCTCCATTATTCTGAGGATTACCCAGAATCCCTTGCCCTTTGTGAATATTGCAGGGTGACTTTTTCGACAGTAGGTGGCGCCAATGTCCCATTTAGCGGGATTTAACTTCAACTCTATTTAACTATGTTACATATGCATTCTGGGATATGTTGGGCCACGAAGTCTACACCGCCACGTCCTTAAAACTCAGTGAAATGAAGGACGCATTTGAGGGCCGCATTTCGAGCAGCCTTTGAATTGGGACAGCCTTCGTCGCGTCGCGGTGATTTAACCGGCCTTAAAATGCGGCCTTTAAGGCTGCAGACCCTGGATTGGGATACAGCCAGAGTCTGTGAATGCAGACTGATAATGCTCCACAAACCCACCATGGTGGACGTCAAAACAGTGGGTGACACCACAGTCGAGTGTGAGTGGGTCATTCATCCCACGGCTGTCATACAGTGGCTGCTGCAGTGGCTGTGTGGACACTGAGGATAAAGGGGGGAGCTCCAGTCCGCAGTTTGGGATCCATGTCCCCACAAACATCTCAGGACCTCTGACAGGATGAAGGAAACCTAAAATCAGACATCTTAACGGGAAGCGTCTGTGCACGGATCGGGGTTTAAAACGCAGGAAGCGTTTCCACGGCGTGTGTAAGAATGAAACCGATTCTGCGTTCAGCTTTCATTAATGTGAAACTGGAGCCGCTTGCTGTGTGAATAATGAGAGAAAATTCCTCCTGCTCGGGGATCAATGGAGGAAGCGGCGAGCTCAAGTGATGCTCATAACTGCACATTTCATCTATTGATCAGCTGCTCTGTTGGAGCCAATCAGCTGAGGCTCTGAGTAAATGAATTAAACGTGTGTGTGTGTGTGTGTGTGTGTG